AGTTTCAGAACGTGCGTAAGAGGGATCGTGAGCCTTTCGGGACCTTACCAAGCCATCGTCGAACTCGTCGTCGTCCGTGTCCGAATCCGAATAGCCGCGCAGCTTTCGAACTTTCTTTTTCACTTCCTTCTTCACCACCCTCGCTATCGCGCTTTCCGCCTGCAATCGTCTCGTCATTAAGGGAAAATTTGACGTACGTGCGCTTGGCGCCAATTGGCTCACTACGGGGAGTGGAATAAACGAGCGAACTACTACACCGATCTACTATAATACGATGATACATACAAATAAACTACGTCGGAAAAATGAGTCACCAATTAATTAATATATTATTACACAATAGTCCCTGCTATCTGTAATAATAGATAACATAATTGCACTATCTAATCAGCGTTGATGCTAAATTGATGTCTTTCGAAAATCAGATTATCGAATCATCGCATTGCGGCAAGTCTGTAAATAAGAAACACCTTGAGCTCACGAAGCGCTGCTTTTCTCCTCGCGATTTATACGACTCGCGAGTTTTTAACATTGAAACAAATCCTCGGATGCGTAAAAAGAATAATGGAAAAGGATCTCGTAATGGCTACGGCATGGATAGCCTCGAAGATGTGATTGCCCTTACAAAGATTTTTATTCCATTTAAATGTGAATTCTTACATAGCTGAGAAAAACCTATCGCATCCAAAACTTATTACAAAGCGAAATTAAAACTTCTCTGCTTTCTCGCTTCGAGTACAAACTACGGTAAACGATTGCGAATATCTTTCTCATCTGTTAACACGTTAACCTATATATTCTTTCCCATCTTTGTTTCCTAGCAGTTATTTACTTACGTCGGAATCTAGTTCGGAAGTTCTATTTATCGCATGGAAATATGCTACCATCGATGCCTTTCCTACTGGAAAGAAAATATCCACGTGATATTTTTCCTACTGGATTGCTTACGAGAGCCAATAAGGATGCAGGGTTTTCGATCAGGTGACTCGAGGCTAAATCCTGATTGGCTTTCGTAAGCGATTCAGTAGGAAAAATAGTACCGTGTGCCGCTGGCTTAAGTCAACACATTAAAGTTCAATGTACAAACGACAATGTTGCGTAAATAGCTATCGCGATTCACGAACGCGACAAATTTCATGGAGGAACGTCTCAAGGTGGTCTCATTTTTCTATACTCATTTCAGTGTAAAACTGAAGGACAAAGCAGCTTTGACAGCTTTATTCGTTTCCAATTCATCGACAATAAAAATCTGGTTTTTATTCTCTACAGCAAAACTGCTGTTGCATATTTATAAAGGCAGAAATACAAATACATACTATTAGAAATGTATTTCAGAAAAATTATTACATCGCTTAAACAGGACAGTTTTATTGCAAAATTAATCGAAGACTGAGGTCAATTTACTTTGAATGTCACGTTATACGACTGTAAAATTGAAGATGAGCCGTGAAATAATTCTACGGAAATAGACGCACAGTCAATAAGTAAACACTATTGAATAAATGTTAAGTAAATGTGGAATAAATGTTAAAATGAGACTGTTACGTGAAACCAGACATTGCCACGCCAGCTGCTTCGCAGTGGCCTAGTACCACAAGCACGTGCCTGTATTCCAGCCACCGCAATTTTCACCTGGCAACCACCTGTCGCGTCGGTTTTTCCCCGTTTTCCTGTTCAGAGGCAGGTTCTTCGAAAGTTTACACGCGAAGATCGCGAGGCTCGACCGAGGCAGAACGACGAGAAATCTGGATGTGGTTCTTGTCGGCAAGAAAATCGATGAAAAAAAGAAGGACGAGACGAGCGACAAGTGGCGACTGTGTCAAGGTGAAGGAGCGTCGTCTCCGGCATTAACCGGCCGGTGAAAGCCGAAGAGGTGTCTGCCTTGATCTACGGGTAACTGTACATGGACTCGAAAATTGAAGTCGACTGATCGCGAACAGGTAGCGAAACCGGAGGTGCGCAGTCGCTCCTCAGCGCCGGATATTAATCCCTCAGGCGATTATGATAACCGATTCATATGCATGTATTTTCTAACGGAATGCTTGAAAACTCATCCGAGTTCAAATTCGTTAAATACATGTTTGACCACATTTCATGTAAGTTGATATAAAACTTCTCTGTAGCGAGAAGAAACACAGAAGATATTTTAGGTACGTTGAAATAAAGAAAATAAATATATGACAATCTATCTTTCGCGGAAAGAAAATCCATTTGAAGTTTATCTTTTTCCAAATATTTCGAGAACTGGAAAAAATAATAACGCGAGGGAGACTTTGAAAGTGAATTTTCGCGCGAAAATATCCGCGACTCTTTGATCGGCGATTTCTGACAGAAGCAGAGAAAGCTTGCGAACTTCCGTGACGTCTTTGAGGAACAAGGACAGTCAGAAAAGCCACGCTCCTGATCGCGATGAGAAAAAGAAGCGCAGAGACGTCGAACACGTGTCCCGCACTTGAAAGACGATGACATCATCACATTTGTCACCGACGAAGATCTAAGAAACCAAGAACTCTTTTATTGCCACTACGCGAATGGCGATGCAAAAAAAAAACGATCTCGTCACCGATCATCACGTCGATCAAATGAAGCTTCCTTCGGAAAAGACTTTCAAACTGGAGAAAAACTGAAGAGATATAAGCTAAAAATATGAACAAGATAAATGAAGTAAGAGTATTCGATATGGTTTAGTGACTAGGGATTAAAGGAAGGGTAATAAATTGTGCGAGAATCCGAAGAAAGGTGTTGAATTAAACGAGCGCGGATTAACGTAAGCATTCACAATCCCGGGAGACGTTAACGACCCTCCGGCGAAATGCAACTCGACGACGTACGTAATTAAGAGAAGTTAAGAGAACATAATCCTCTAGAAAGTCTCTAGACCGGCACGTCCCAGCCGCGTCTAAGAACAGGTTTCGTGCGAATCGGCGCAGCGTACTTCGAATGGCCGCTATTTAGGATCCCCGCGCGCAACATCGACTCGGGATACACGGCTGCGTGCGATTCCTTAGGAAGTCGGCAATTACTTGCTACTTCGTGCATCGATTCCATACACTTTACGTGCGCGTAAGCGTAAATCTGACGCACGGTCGATCGCGAAGACACGCAAATTACCCGCGAGACCAATAGTCCAATGTATCTAAACCGAAACCGATCGCGAGGAAGAAGTTAACCCAGCCGAGAGCAACTCCTGACTCCATGACTCTTAAAGTCAAGACAATGGGCAATCTTGGACACGTGATACACGCAAGTTGCTGAGAGCCGCATTTATTTTCAAAGTATACTTTCTCGCTTCGCAGAACTTTCGACGAGATACACGCTCGTTGCTTTCTGAATACTTTTTTTCACAGTTGAACAGTCTCCTCTCCTCCAACTGTTATTCGTTGTCACGTGATTGTAAGTTGGTAAAAGAATGGGAAATGTGAAAAATTTTCTAGCCTAAAACAACACACAGGGCGCCTCATTTTAAATAATCCACGCAAATATCTCCAAAAATATGAAAGACACGGAAAAACGTTTCGGTACGAAGGGGGACATAAGGTGGTGCCATTGATTTGACCTTGAATAGTCATTTGAAGGTCACGTGAAGGTCACCTTCAATTTTTTTTACGGAACCCCCTATTGTTTATTATACCATCTTATTCTATTAATTAATACAACTTTTGTTTGAAACGTTTTTCCGTATCTTTCATACTTTTGGAGATATTTGCGTGGATCATTTAAAATGAGACACCCTGCATATCTATGCAAGCAAATAATTAATTGTATACGTTTTTTGCTCTAATGCGATTCCAACTATATCTACATTTTCAACTCTTAAACCTCTGATAGTTTCCCCAAGTAGAGTTCGCAGCGGATCCGAAGTACGTGGGATAACATTTATAAAAAATAATAACGTCCCTGGACCTTTTTAATACAATTGCAAAATATATGGAATAAAGGCCTTTCATTATTGCGCGCAATATTAATAAATTAATAATCAATCAATTGTTTCGACATAACTGGCTATGTATTTAATTTGTCACAACGCTCGTTGTGTAAATGCTTGTCTCTTAAACAAACCTGAAGAGGACTGCGATTTGCAGTCGAAACGTCGTCGTTGTGACAAATTAAATACATAGCCAGTTATGTCGAAACAATTGATTGATTATTGATTTAATTACTGGTGAACAAAAACATTACCGACAACATATTATTATAATAAATTAGTAAACATTTTAAAAAAGTAAATTCATTCTGCAACGTACCGGTGGGGACCGGTTTCTACCCCACTTAGGAATGCAAGGATTAATTTAACTCATGTACCGTGGAACACTTGCACAATACAGGGTTATAATTTTACAAAGCAGACGCACTATTCTACGGGCTGTCGGGTGTCGCACGACCTGACGATTTGGGGTATCTCCACTTTCTTTCATTCGCCCGGCGATGTACGCGTCGATACGCGCGGGTGGATCTCGCATGTCACGCGACGAGGACGGTAACACAGCCGTTACCACGGGGCTCAGTTTTCACTGCCATCAACACCGAAAATTGATCACGGTTGAATTTCGCTCGCGGCCGGACCGCCAACGAAGCGAACGCGAGCTTCTCGGCCGATTTTAATATCCTCATCTTAACTTTGAAAATTATTCGCACGATACCGAGAAGCCTCCGGCGAGCCTCGTCGCGTAAATCACATCGCTCGGGCGAATTTGCGTCCGAGACGAAACGTGACCGATAAAAAGAGCCGACGTCGACGACAATAAATGTTTAAAATGTCGTTCGTTAGCATTGCCATGAAATTACAGTGATAAATCAACTTTTCATACCGATCTGACAAATAATTTTCAACACCAATTTCGTACATTTAATCGTGCGTTATCAACTTCGATACGAGTCGAAAGAAGTTCGGTTCTTGAAGACTCCGGTCGGATGAGCTACGGGACGGGAAGATGAGATCCGGTTGGAGGGCGTCGAGCAAGCAGGAAGCGCTACGGGACGAATACGTAAGTATATCCTACCTTCTTGTACAGCTTGATCCAGGTGAGGTCACCCTTATTGTCGGTGTACTGGAGGCCGAAAAACCACACCTCGCGCAGTCCGATCGTCTTGACGACCTGATCGAACAACTGCTTCCCCGTGGTCGTCTGCTGGATCGCAAACTCCAGCTCCGCGTCCATCGTCGTCACCCTCACGTTCATCTTCGCGGCGCAGCACATGCAAATAAAACGGACGCCGTCAGGTGGTGCGAGCGAAACGCGTCACCCAGTAGAGCGAGGCTCAACCGTCGCGTTATTACGCGTCCTACCGTGTCTCTCTCGGGTAAGGACAAATGTATGCCACATTATTTCATAATTCCCGCTTCTTTTTTATACTCCCTTCCTTAAATCCATTGTTTAACAAAAATATTCTACTGCAACCGCACCATGTACAAAAATGTTTTTTTTCCATATACAGGCGCGAAATCCTAAATGAATCGCGAGACGCTCCGAGGGCGAGAAGCCCCTGCATCGCGATTCCGACATATCTATCACGATATACGGAGCGAAGCTTAAACCAGCGTCGCGCCGGTAACGGCCGGCTTACCATCTTGCCGCCGGCGACCATGTCTGCGAGATTCGTTAAACACTTTCACAACGGGGAGTCACCGATAAGGGAAAAAACAAAAAAAAAGAATTCGCGGAGAGGCGTGCTCGCGGGCGTACACACGGGATTCGAGACGCCGAAACGCGACACGAAAGCGTCCGATAACGTTGACGGTGCAAAAATTAACGGATCGTGCGTGCGTGCTAAACGCGATCGGCCTTCGAGCCGGTCTCCGGAGTCGCGGACAATGGGGCCCAAACCACAAGTGCAACTGGCGGCGCTCCTTTCCCCTCTTCTTCGTCCCGGGACGCGACGCGCAACGGTGCAACCGTTCTCCCGCCTCGAGGGAACGCGTGCGCATGCGTGCGCGCGCGGCGCGCGAACGCGGTCACGTGGGACGAGCCGGTCGGCGGCGCGGCGACCAATCACGGCGCGCCGCGCGCCCCGGCGATACCGGGTGCCGCGGAAAGAAGCGACCCCGCCTGGCACCAACGCTTTTTGAAAACCGGCCGACGCCGCCCGACTGATTTGCGAATGCGCGACCGTTACAACCGTTCTCTCTCGCGCGCGTGCGCGCACGCGCCGTTGCGATTGCGTAATTTTTCACTCTTGCCTGGAACTTTTTGAGGACATCGAGAGAGACGCGGTAGGGTATCTTTACGAACCGAGTTGAGGGATCCTTGGATTATCGAAAATCAATAACCGCCGGACCGATCAAGTTCTGATCGAACTAAATCGATGGCTTGGGCTTGAATTATTATATTATAAAAGTGTTTCCTCTTTCTCTCTCTCTCTCTCTCTCTTTCCATCTGCGAGCGGAGATGTTGCGGTGCGAACTGATAAGGAACGAACCTTATGGAAAATAGATTTCGGTGAAATTGGCTGAGACTTTGCCATTTTATACTTCAAGTGATGCTGATCAAAAGTTACCATTGCCACTAGTCAATCCTACGAGTCGTTTTTGTTCTAACAGGGCTCAAAGTTCGATTACAGGCACTATTATCGACGACTAGATTGACACGTTGCTGGTATAAAAATGTGGGAGCGTGAGCAGACACGGCGCGCTATTCGTATTGAGTCAATGCAGGATGTCCCAGCGAACGAGCCGGATCCTGTTTCACTGAGGCTGACGTTGCCGGCGAGCGAAACGTCGCGCGTTGCGCTGCTTATAAATTTTATTCACCGCAGATTACGAGAGGCCAAAAGTCCAACAGCACCAATCGTCGCAAGGCACGTAAAATTTCGTGGAAAACGGCGTTCTGGAGTAAGGATTTCCTTCCTCGGAAGAAAAAACCGCGTAAAGTCCAGAGGCCTCCTTGCTACAAGCGAGTGGGACACTCGCCGACCTCTCGGATGCGTTAAAGGCCGATGCCTTTCACGTTGCGACATACGCGATATCGCATTCCTCGCGTCGCCGACCTACACGGCGCGAGATGTCCGCGACCGTAACCGCGCAATGAATAGAAAAACGAACGAAAATTTTCGATCTCTCCTGTGTCAATTTTCTACCAAAGTACAGCAACTTTAATCTCGTTTAACTTACTTTCATCGCTTTTTAGTTTTAAAAAAGATTTTAGTATTATAAAAATATTACTTAACTTTGAAGTCATACGGACCTGTACATCTTTATCATAAAACATTTAAAGATTGTAAATTAATCGTTATTTTTATCCAAAGTTAACGTTTACTAGTTTTATACTGTATAAGTTTTTTGGACATAAAAGAAAACTAGATTATAGAGGATTAAATCGAGATTAATCTAATTCTTAGAACTAGAAAAAGATAAAAAGTAGGTTAAACCAAGATTAAAGTTAATCTGCATTGACAGAAATGAACATTAGCGGCCGTCGCCGGTGCCGTTTTGCGCGCGGTTTTTGAAAACAATTGAAACTAACTTGGTCTTTTCGTTGACTCGACCTATAAATCAGTTTTGCGTTATGCAACGCGGCCGCTTCGGTTTTATGCAAATAAGTATCGGTCTCTTGTTTTAGATAGACGATGCCTTCGTTCATTTCGCAAAAACAACCGAACTTCGAAAGAGCGAGAAATGCGTTTGATCGCACGGAGAATAAGATGAGGGAAAGTAGCTTCCTCTCTTGAATCCGGAAAAAATGGAAAGACGTATTGCGCGACTTGGAGGACCATTGTCTTTTGTACGTACGCGTCACGAATTACATAACGAAGTTACGTAAAAAAGAAATTCAGTCGCGAACAGCAGACGAGTCACATGTCTGCATAATTTTATTTTTGTACACGAGTATTCGTTAAAGCTGATCCTAAAAACCGATAGATATCTTGCGTAATGTCTACAAAAAAAACGAAAAAGATGCATCTTAAAAGAGTCTATCTTCATGGCCAGGAAATGCCGCAGTTTCCGTTCATTATTCATCGCTTTGCTGTATCAAACGGAAAGATGTATATCTTCTTCCGTTTTATTCGAGTACAAAGTGTACGTCTATCCGGTGATCCGAGATTGATCTAATCGCGCCTATAGTTGCGACTTCGATGCAACAAATATACGATGCATCCGTTTGTGATTTACGGAAAAAAAAACCGACGGAGCGACTATCTTTAGCACGAGAAATTAAATTAATTAAACTTATCGATTGAGCCTCACCCGATTCCTCTCAAATAAATGGACGGAATCTCTCCTGCCAACTGTTCAGCTCTACTTTGTGGATTTGTAGATTTCTTAACTTTAATATAAAAAAATACACAATTGTTTAAGTGTTTAGCGTTTTCTTTTATCCCTTTTCTAGCAGCAACATATCAGCTCGTTGCCAATTATTAAAGCGAGAACTACGCTCGAAGTTAGTATATTGGAAATCAATTGTAAGCTTCGAAGTTGCGAAGCCTCGGATTTCATTTTACCCGAACAGTGACGTTGAAACCGGACAGGGAATATGCCCTGCACTAATTGTATAAAGAAAAATTATTTGAAGTGAGGATACATACCGACTTCGGCATCGTGGCTGTGTTTTCTCGTACTAAACAGCGGAACTATTCCTCTGAAACAGATAAAAAAAGTGGCGATTATAATCTATTTAACTGAAAACGATGAATTGATAACGCTGGAATTTGTGAGGCGCATTGCGAATTCTAATCCCGGACAAATCGGCGGAGTTCTCGTGATTTTCATTTTTAAATGGCATTTGATATCGCGATACCATCATTCGGAATGTCTCTTTATACGCTGTCACATGACATGTTCGGACACGTTGGCAAATATGTAATTACGGTGTTTCATTGGTCGCTTAATTACAGCAGACTCGACTCGTTCTTGAGATGCTAAGTAAGGACGTAATGAAATCGCGTGTACTTCCCGAATACCAAAGATCGTAGTATCAGGTATAGGCGCACATATGATTAATCCGGTGTAAACCAAACTTAAGAAAACCGAGTATTGACTTCACGTGATTCGACAAGCGACGTGTGTCAATCGTGAACCGTGAATGTTATCAAGATACGCCGATAAGCCCTCGAAGACAGATCCTAGTTTCAATTTTCGCATTTTTAACATCGCGCCTTTTAGATAAGCCTCGTATCTCACAACGGCAATTGAACTTCAAATCAAACCACCTTTAAAAAGCGAAGTCCGTTTAGCGCGAGATTACAAAGAGATAATCCATTGAACGTTTCGTCACCGATTCTAGTACGTGACATCGAGTCACTTGTTTTGCAAGCAGTGGTTTGTCATGCTATTTTAAGCATAATATAAATCATAATAAAAAAGATTTAAAAGATAATAAAACGGCAACGCTGACATAAGCCTAAAGGTTGCGTAAGTTCCTTCGCGCAGTCGATCGAATCTATTAATGAAATAATTATATATGAAATATTTTATGTGCAATTATATTCGTAATATAAACTATTTTGCAATTTACATAATTTCCTATAACCGGCACGTGTGTCGATTAGAGTTCCAGATAATCAGAGAAACACCAATGGCTACGTCCAAAAAATCAGCTTTGCAACTGTTGTAAAAATCTTGAATCTGATTCGAGTATGCTGTCAATCTTGGCTGAATCTATAATAAGAATATACTCCAATCAGGTTCACGAATTTTACAACAGTTACAAAGCAGCTTTCTCTGCTGGACGCAGTCAATGACGATCAAAGCCGCCATTTTTTCCCTATTTCCTTCTTTTTCTACTTAGGTTGCTAGAAGTAGGAAAAAAAATGGTGGCTTCGATATATCAAATATAAGTGACGCAACTCTGATTATCCAGGACTCTAATGTTGATTACTTATATGATAAAAGGAACAAAGAAGAAATGAAAAAAACGTTAGTGAGATAAGAAGTAAAAAAAAACAAATGTAAGATTGAAAACATCTTTCTACCAAAGATAAGACTTAAGGCCGGTATTCATAATCTATTCTTCTTTCAAGACCGTCTTAGATGTTAATGTGATTGGTTTATATTTCAAGATTGTACTTAAGACGGTCTTAAATATAAGAACAAACTGTGAGCACTGGTTTAAGTGTAATCTTGGCTGGCAGCCGCTCAAATCAACTCGCGCAAGAATTTTAACGTCTCACAATACCGACGTTAAGTTTAATTACCAGCGACGCTCCAAGTACCGGATGCAAACCTATTGTTAGGCGAGTTACTTTCGCCGTAATGAAGATGTAACCCTTCAGTAACAAGTTTTCGCAATTGTGCAGCTAATTGTTACTGTCATCATTGACTAGAAATTAATATCTTGCAATTATGTAAAGTAAATTGTGCAAAGAATTTGCGGTACTGCGTCACGTGCATCCGGTGTATAAAATAAGAATGCGCATATAAAACTACATTCAACGTCGGGATTAATGTGAGTTTCACCTGATTTCCCGCGGTTAGTTAATACGCAAGGGAAGGAAAATATCGCTTCGAAATTAAACTGGGTATCGTCGGTTGCTTTGAAGCAAATGAATAACATCACGCTTGTAGAAATAACAGGTAGTCATGACGTTACATAAGCTTGTCGTTGCGTGCAAACGCCTCAGATGCGGAACGCAATTAGAGATTAAAAGGGTAGTAAAAAAAACAACTGTAGTAAAGAGTAAAAAAAACTCTGCAAGAAACATGTTTTTTACTCTCCCACAAATGAATCTTTTATTCCGTTAATTACTCGTAATATCCAATTTTAAAAATGTATAGTAAAAATCTAGTCTCGACGCTTATTTATTAACCTTTGAAGCACGGCTTCAAAAAATCAGCTCCAAATTTGCCAAAATTTGGTGTCACATTCCACGTTCTGTGACTCTCACTTTTGATCCACAAAATAAAAAT